TGCGCCGTCGCCATTAATGTCCACAGAAAAACCCTAACCCTAGAAATTGATAGAAGAAGGGGGGACGAGTTGAAGGGCTTTGATTAGCTTCACGACTTTATTCTTTTTCATTAAAGTTTAGTTAACAATGGGGGAAGGATATAATAAAAGCCTTGATTTGATTTGACTTGCGGCATCTCGTGTCATTGTAATGACCCAGGGGCCCCACAATTTTCCTATTAAATACCGTTGCTTCTTCCTTAAGGTTTTTTTAAGGGGCTGTTTGTTTCCTCAAAAAAGAAAAGAAAATGAAAAAATGAAAGCTGACAAGGAAGCCACCTAGATTTTTTGTTTCTAACCTTTTCCATTTCGTATGTTTGTTTCGCCATGGGTTTTAAAGAAAAGAGGACGTGAAAAGGGGGTCCACGTCAGAAAAAGAAGAAATGTGTTTTCAGAGCTTCGAGGCCTGAAAACGGATGGAAATGTCAAGTCACCGATTAAAAAAAGCGTAGGGAACATATATCGAAGCGGCGGGCCTCGACCCGCGTTTCTTCCTAGCGTTATCTTCACCGCCTTCGACATTTCCCCTTCCACCTCTTGCCTCGTTTCGCCATTGCTCTGATCCTTTCTCACCATTTTCCCCTAGTTCACGAAAAATACTTACAGCAGGAGATGGCCTTCGCGATCGACGAACTCTTGGATTTATTTCATGGGTTGCTGCTCCAGATCTAGCAGAAATCCGTGGATTTGGGGTTTTATAATCTGTAAATTTTCTTCGCTTGTGCTTGTTAAGGTGCTCGTTAGATCTGTACCCGCTGAAGCCCGAATCCCCTCTGTTGTTGAGGTTTCCCTCACCGCATTCAATCTATGGTTTGATCTCCATTTCTAGATCTCCTCCCTTGTAGATTAAACGGTCTAGGTTTATGATTTGCAGCATGCAACTGATTTTTACAATCTAACCTACTCTATTAATAGAAGATTTGGCTTTTTAAGGTCTTAATTACTGCTGCAGGCAAATAATCGACCCGATTCATGTCTTTTTTGGTTAGAACTGTCCCCAATTGTTTATCGCGCTGAATGTATTATTCAGGATTTTTGACGCCTCAAATGAGCTTGAGATTTGTGATATTTAGGCGTTCATAAGAACTGATTAACCTATTTGTCGTCTATTTAATTTTTTTTACATATTAAATTACCTAAGACTTGGGGGTTCGTTGCTAATGCGGCATAAACATGTACCAAAAATATTGCAAGTGCACAACCGTGTCAAGTTATAGTATAAAGATATCGATCCACGAGGAAGGTGTTTTTGTAGGAGAAAATATAAAATCGGTTCTTATGTTGTGTGCGTGACAAATAGGAGTGATGAGTGAATATGATTGTGGAGAGATAATGAGAGTGAACGTGATAGTGTGTAAATCAATATTTTTGAGAGTGGATGTGAGTAAATAAATAAATGTGATCAACAAGGCAAGAAGGAAGAAAGAAAAAAAATCAAAAAACAACTAAAAAATCAAGAATGAAAAATAAAATTCAAGAATAAAAGAAAACACAAGAAATTAAAGATGGTGGATTCAATTATAGATATGGGTAATCTAAAATTGAACCAACTTCTTAGAAAATGATGATTCCCTAGAGGGTTCTAGCCTAAAGGTGAATCAAACAAAAAAAAACTAAACCCAAGAGGGTTCTAGCCTCAAGGTGAATAGTGCAAGAAATTAAAATCTAACTATAAAATAAATTGCAAAATCTAAACTACAAAATAAATTACAAGAATTAAATGCAAGAAAATGAATCTACTCTATAAGCATTGAAATAAATCTAATCTATAAGCATGAAATAAATCTAAGGCAAGAGGGTTCTAGCCTCTTGGATATTTAACAAGACAATAAAATCTAACTATAAGCATAGAAATAAATCTAAACTAATAAGCAATAAAAAAGAAATAAAAGAGAAAAAGAAAAGAAATGCAAACCTCTAAATAATTCTTCATCTCCATCTTCATCATCCAACAAAGAGAAAAAATATTTAAAGTGGTGAAAAAATTATTATTATTAATTGTAACAAAAAGTTACAAATTTGGAAGGCCTTCTTAATTAAGAGTAGTCATCCTCTCCAAAAGGAGTTACAAAAACTTTTACACCTCTAACCCCTTACTCTCAACCTCTATTTATAGTAAACATCAGTGAATGAGAACCCTTGGATTAAACTTGAGCCCCAAGAATGCAATTTTGGTCGTTGATGAAATCTGGATGACTTCGCATTGATACAGGAATCGATGCTCTAATAAGAATTCTGACTTCACGGTTGGCTTCGTCTCGTCGAGATGGGCGATTTTCATATATTATATGTTAAATTCCGCCTTCCGGATTGGGAGATATCGTCGTTTCTTTGCGGCCCCAACCATTTTGAATATAATTTCTTTTCATATTGGATTTTTGATTTTCTCCGGCTTCTACAGGCTACTCCGCTTAATTCTGGACTTTGGATAATTTGAAAATTGATTTTCCAATGGGCTTCTTTGCTTCATTTCTTCATTTAATCAATGGGTTTTTGTTGAGAGATGAGAGTTTGATATTTATTCTTCATTAACCTGCAATTAAAAGATAAAAATAATTATTAGTGGTATATTTATTCATATAAAATAGATAATGAGAGTATAAAATTATAATAAAATGTGATTATAAGTTGCTATAAGCATAGATTTACTTTTGTCTAAAGGCCGTACTTCAGTTGGTTATTTGGGGAGTCTATTTTGACAATCTGGTAATTGTCTGTTTCTGCTATCATATGTCATCCCTATTGATGGTGTGCGCTGATACTATGTCTGTATGACTTTGCCACATTTATTTTGCACTTAGTTATTATGGCTACATTAACATGTGTTGTTAATATCCAATTGCGTGCATTCAATCTTGGTTTGGGCATCAATGTCCACTACGGTCTCTGATGGGTATTCTGTAATCCACTTTAATGTCATCAACTATTTCTCTTACAAACACATGCATGATGCTTTCCTGGCCGTGACTAACATTTGCTACTCTTTTCCATTCCTATCATTTTACATTGCCCACTTCATATTTTTTGTGACTAACATATGACTTGTCGTGGTATAGGACATGACTGACCACTCAAACAAGGATGGGAATGAGTTGGCTAACCGTAGGGCCAGTACGCACTCCTCAACCTCTAGGGGCCGACCACCCTCGCCCGCGTGTCCGCCATGCGGTGGGTTCACTCACTCATTCAACCCCATATTCCAGCCAGCCTCCCCCTATGTGCCCTCACCCACAGTTTATCCAAATGTCCTGCATACCGATGGTAACCTTTTCCTTATGCCTCACCCCATTTCTTCTTACATGAACATTCTCAGTAATGCCCCATCTTTGCCACAACATGTTCAAGGCTCCAATTCCTCTGGATACATTCATTCTCTAACTAGTATTACAGGGACTACTTCTGATTCAGGTAGCAAAAAATGGTTGGAAAGGGATAAAGTAGTGGCCACTTCAGTCGGTACACCCAAAAAGGACAAAGTTCTTGTCCATAAAAAAAAAGGAAAATTCCATTTGTTGACGTGCCTGCAACTACGGCTCCAACTAGATGGTGGACTGTTGCTCATGATGACGTGCTCATACCCTTCCTCGCTAATTTGGCAAGGTCTGGGCTTAAGCCAGGCAAAAATTTTAAGCAACATGCATTTGCAATGGCGGCTGCTGAAGTGAACAAGCAATTTGGTACTTCTTTTGTGACGAAAAGTGTTGTTAACCATATGAAAACATTATGTTCTTGGTTTCAAGACATGCAGGCTGCGCGTAACATCAGTTGTGCAGGCTGGGATGATAACACGCAGACTATCATGTTGGTGTTTGCATCAAAAGTTGCTTCCATTGATAATTATATTGAACTTCGGTCGTTTACAACGAATTACAATGAAAAAATTAGAAAATTACAACTCTTGAGAAACTAACACAGAAGTCGTTTATCGAATCCTGTTTTTGTGGGACTTTGCCTGTGCCGGGAACGCTTTGGTTCGTGGACCGCCGAATCACAGATCGTGAAGGGGGTTTACTGATTCTGACTTCGTTTATCGAAGTGAGAACTTGAAACGATATCTTATCAAAGTAAGATAGTCGTTCTTCTTAAAATCAAGTCAAAGCTCAATTTCAAGGAGTTACACGAAAACTCAAATCTGCTCTCTCTGCTCTGGATTGCTCGAAAATATGCTCGATCCTCGTCAGAAGTGACCCTAGGGGGGTATTTATAGCCTCAGGGGTCTGTAACTGAAAAAACTCAACAAAACAGTGAATTAGTACGGCGAGACAGTGTTTACTGTCTCGGTGGGCGAGACAGTGTTTGCTGTCTCAGCCCGCGAGACAGTAAATGTTGTCTCGGAAACAGTAACCGTCAGGCAGTTTTCATTTTAACTGCCTTCCCACGTTTCAAACTCCGTTATTTTGGCAGTTATCCACGTGATTTTCGCCCACGATGTTTCCCACGTCCCCTGTCAGTTAATGGACACGTGTAGGGCAGTTATCGAGGTGGTTTTGACTAGCGAGACAGTAAAGTCTGTCTCGCTAGCGAGACAGTAAAGACTGTCTCGCTGGCGAGACAGTTCATATCTGTCGATTTCTTTTGAATGATTTTCTCTATGTTTGGATATCTCTTAGGATTTTTTGACGCCTACAGATACCCCCTCTAAAGTAATCCAGACTCATTCTTTTATAGAGGAGCATGGGATACTTTGGATAAGATAGATTTTACTTACGATCCCTTCAATGCTTGGTTGAGTAGATCGTGTGAAAGGACTTGTGCATGGCTTCAATGCTTGACCTCTTCTACTTTTAGTCTATTCAGTTCTTTGTAGAATAGCTAATGTTTTCCCGGCGTTGCGTTTATCGCTTGACCGTTGTCGAGATCCTGAATTGAAGTTGGTACTTGTTTCTGTGGGTTCAGCTTTCATCACTGAATTGATATATCCATTTAGAGCTTATCAGGTTATCCTTAAGAATATTCATATTAATATTCTCCAGAAACTTCCTGTTGAGGGTAGGGAAACAGTTTAGACTCGTGTACCTATTGGAGTATTCATGCGTATCAAAACACCATATCAAAACAATCTTTGCCATTGCATGTTACGAGATAGCTCATACTGCCCCGCTGTACGAGATAGTATATACGGTCTCGCAGTGCGAGACAGTATATGCTGTCTCGCTGTGCGAGACAGCAAATACTGTCTCACACGGCGAGACAGTAAAGTCTGTCTCGCTCAGCGAATCGGGGTTATAAAACCCCGACTTAGGTTTTTTTTCTAGGGTTTTCACGTTGATTTCTAGACGATTTTCAAGCGATTTTCTGCAAGATTTTTGACCAGTTCTCTGCCTTTTCTCCTCCTCTTCGTTTCTGATTTGGGTAGGGCTCTGTTTGGGAGAGATTCCACTCGGATTTCACAGGTTTGTTTTGCCTCTTTTTTTTTCAAACTTTGATTTTCTTCACCTGTGACCTTGCATGGATTGTTTCGGCCATACTTTGTGATATTTTGGTCGATTTCTTGCTCAAAATTCTGACCTTTTTCGTTGGGTTTCCTTGTAGATCATCATGTCGCCACGTCGATCCAGAGGTTCTCGAGGCCGTTCGACTGCTCAGTCTCCTGAAGAGGCTAGTCCCGCTGTCGCCACTTCACATGGGGGTATATCTCTCACTCTTTCATCGATTCAAATATTGTATTTCGTCAATTTCATATATGTGTACCTGTATTTTCATGCAGATCCTCGTTTGTATCCTTTGAGATACCCTCGAGAAGAGCCGGTATCTTCCTTTGAGGGGATCGATGCTTAAAAGTGTTTGTTTTGCTTGGACAAAACACACTTCATAATACACAGGGGCGATTTCATATCATCCCACATGTATTGAAAGGTTCTGGTATGCCGTTATAATGCCCGTGCATAGTAACGCATATCTCCTTTATACATATGGTAGATGGAAAATCGTCACACCTGTTATGAGATAGCGACTATATCTTATGGAGTAAGATATACCGTTTTCTCTAAAATTTTAGGACTATACTTACACAGCTTATGTGTATCTCCTGTATCAGTCCATTTTCCTTCCACAATCTTCATCGTCGATGCAGTTACGGGCCAGAGTAGTGTCACTCATTCTTACTATGAGGGGCTACCGTTAATCGAGTCTGCTCCTCAGTTCAAGTCAGATTACAGCGAAGGGGCCCGAGAGTTGATTCAACGAGGTAGTTGCCGTATTCTGCGACGGTTAATCATGGACGCAACCTTAATTTCAGAGAAGGACTCAAACCAATGTATAAGGAAACCCGACTTCTTGTTTGGTGACTCCATAAAGGATCCGACGATTGCTTTCTGCAAGCCTGCGCAGTGGTTACACGAGGATGGTTCGTCATTCCTGTACTTGCCTTTTATCCCTCGAGAGCATTCACTGTTAAAGTTCAGGAACTTATCGGTTGGACGTGAAATGTTCTGGAGGTTAACCGAAAACCACGAACGTATTCATTGTGGTTTCATCGGGAAAGAGGCTACTCCAGGTTCCAGTGAAAGAGCTTCTATACGAGGGCTTCATCCGGGTGTCTTAGGCCAAGACAATATACCTCAGAATGAAAAGACAACGTAGGCTAACACTGTGAAGAATCGTTTGGCTGCAATGAAGAAGAAATTACCCCACGAGAGTTTCAGATGTTATGGATGGGTCCATTATTCTGGGGATAAATGGTGGTGGACCAGAATGACTCGATATGTGTTGAACCGTTGGGGGCGAGAGTTAGCAGAACTAGGGTTGGAAGTCCCGATCCGTGCCAGCATGCATGGTCTGCAAATTAGTGTAGGTCATTTCCTCCATTTGTTCGAGATCTACAATCCTGACACTAATACGTCCTTCACCAAGAACGGGGAGCTCGGGTTACCATTGCACGAAATGATGAAGGTGTCTAGCTTACCCATAGGTGATGTTCCATATCAAGAGTTCTTCCCAACCACCAGTCAGCTTAATAAGATGAAGGATCGGTCATCTGTGACCCACGAGACTTTATGGGAGCTGACTTGTCATTATCATATAGCTATGGCTGAGATGGAAACCAAAGCTAGGAAGAAATCTCCCCAGGTCAGCTTAAAGCAATTCGCCGATTATCTATTCAAGAACCTGGAGGATCGATCGAAAGAGGTACGTGGATTATCTCCTTTGAGCCCGGGTGACATCAATCGGCTGTTGGAGAAAACAAACGCACAATCTTACACTTCTCATTCAGAAGATGGGTTTTCGCACGGAACTAAATTCCGCCCTTATCTGTGGCAAGCTAGTGACTTATTTGATGACATGGTTGGTTCTGCACCGGCCAGATTTAATGGAAGCTCCTGAGACGGTGGATCCTAGTCTTCCTCTTTTACAGATCCTTGAGGGTTGCAAATGGATCAAACATCGATGGCCGGACATCACAAGGCAGTTTAAAATTCACAAGTGTTGGGAATTCTTCCCTTGCTTCCCTCGGTTCTCCGGTACTTACAACACAACTTTATTGGATGCTGAAGACCCGAGCAGAACCGTACCGTTTTAGATGTCGGATGCTTCAGATGGCTGATGAATATCCGACCTGGATATCTGTTGTTTAGGGTAAGGGACGTTTGCCACATTAAGCCCTATCTTCCATGTCGATTTTCCCGTCAATTCGGCTATGACCACATTTATATCGGCAACCCGAATCGTCACCTTAGCTTTCGAGGTGGACTTATTGACGGGGCGAGAGCTTGGTTTTGGAGTATTGCCGGCTGCACAAATGTTGAATTCGATCTCCCTTTAGAGGCGCCGCCTCTACGGATGACCTTCCTCTTTTGTAAGTGGTTGATTGCCGCTAATATCGTCACTCGACGTGGGAGAGTATCGGACTCAGAGGAAGAGGCAGCTCCGCGGCCAGCGACAGAGGCGACTCGTGAGGAGACTATGGTGTCGACTCGAGGAAAAGAAGCTGCTGAATCCTCGAGAAAAGGAAAGGAACTAGCCCTCCCAACGGATAGTGAAGAAGAGTTTGATAGTGAAGCGATCGAAACTTCTGAAGGGGCGGACGAGACTGATTCAAGTTCTGAGGAAGCAGCAGGTCTCCCCGACTCTTTCTTCGAGAGAGGACTTGTAAGACCTTCTGTCGCTCCGGCCCAACCACAAGCTGCTCCGAAAAAACGGAGAGAGAGAGTCATCATGACCTATCCTAATTGGATGACGGTAGACGTTCTCAGTGGAGACGAAGAGGATGAAGAGGGTACAGCGCCTCTTGCTCATAGGCAAAGATCTCAATCTTCCACTCAAGCTTAGACCCAAGCTTCCCCCAGAGTTGAACTGCGCACCAAATATCGCCATGAAGGTTCTGAAGCACGTCCATTGAAGAGACAGAAGAAAGCTTTCTCTAAGCCACGCG